GATGGGGGAGGGGGAGGGGAGGGCTCTACACCAGCAACAGGAGTCAGAGAAACAGGGAAATCACTGTCCCTGGGCTTGGTGTGGGGCTGTCCCACTGGAAAGAGAGTCACACCCGGCCTGGCCTCGTGCTCAGTGTCATGGCTGCACGGAGAGCAAGGCAGCAACCAAACAAAGCCTGTTCACCCTGGGGCCGGGGATTTAGCTCAGTGGTTTCGCCGCCTGCTGCGCAAGCGCAAGGACCCGAGTTCGATCCCCGGTACCAAAAAAAAAAAGCCTCTTCACCCAACTTCACAGTCTCACGGACCGCGGAACCGCACTTCCTGCCCGCGGAGATGTTCGGAAGGTCCACTGACTGCAAAAGCAGGACAGAGGTGACCTCCACTTTATAAAATAGAGACAGAGACGACAGACGAGAAGAGCGGGAAGGACACAGGCTAGAATGAGAAAGTTCCCTCTGGGTGGGAAGTGACAGGGGAGCTGTATTTTCCTCTAGATTTTGCATCTCTGTATTATCTAATTTTGTGAATATGGTTTGTGGTCTGATCTTTTAACAGTTGCCTAAAACGCTCCCTTCTGCTCAGCGTAGACCCTCTGAAGGCTGGAAGGCCGGCCAGTGTGGCAGGAGAGGGTACTTGCACATGCTGGTGGCGGGAGCATAAATTGCTACTGGCTGCTGGAAGACATCAGGCCAAAGCATAAAGGGTCTTTTCCCCAGGAGAGAGAAACTCAACAAGGAATGACAGGCGGACACGATACAGATACAGAAGGTGACCCTAATTCCCTCTGCTCTCCATTCCCAGGGACCCAGAAATGGAATCAAAACATCAGGGAACTTTGTGCGTGGTGGAGAAGGGGGAGCTTAATGTTCAACAATTTGGAAAATAAGTGAATTTTGTCATGACCATACGATGCAATGGCAATTAGAAATCTGTAATTAAGCCCAGCATGGTGGTGCATGCCTGTAATCCCAGCACTCAGGAGGCTGAGGCAGAAGGATCACCATGAGTTTAAGTCCAGTGTGAACTACATAGTGAGACCCAGTTTCAAAAACAAACAAAACCCCCAGAAATTATAATTAAGATGTGTTTTACTGGTAAATATGCACGGTAATGCCTATGTTGATTAGCTTCATTTGGCCATTCTACAATATATACATATTTCAAAACGATGTTATATGTGAGATCCACAATTTTGTCAATTTAAAAATAAATATAATAAAAACAAATATTTTTACTAATAGAGGAAAATAACAATATTACCATGACAGTGGAAACAAGTAAGAACAAATGGTGTACCCGGTATATTTAAATGCTGGCTAAACCCTTAACAGGTCACGAAATCAGTTTAGAGGGGTGGCAACCAATATTTTTCTAGAGAATGGAGATTAAGGGACTAGAATAGAGGAGGAAATGCTGGATGGAATCGAATACACTAGGAATTAGAAGAGCACCTCTGCGGAGGAAGATGAAGTGTAGGGTACCGGGACACTAAGCATCACGCATGCACGCGGGCGTGTGTGTTTGGAGGCAGTTTAAATCTATCTCTCGCCACAAGCTGCCATCCAAAAAGATTGCATAGATGCAGGATAAAGCTAACTACAAGGCAAAATAGCACGTTACCCAAAAAATCACCAAATGTTAAGAGCATGCACTGTGTTTCTGGATAGGTGATGGTGTGGGTTTTTTCTCTGCACTTTGTCATCGTTTTGACTTATAATGCACGCGTGTCCTGCCATCAAAGGGGGTGCTCCAGAGGGGCATGGACTCGCTCACTTTTGCAGATGCCATGCGATTTTCAGGTCCTAAGTGGCCCTCTCCTCACCCCTGACTCCACACAGTACTGCAGAGCATGGGACAGATCAGGACGGAAGACATGGACTCACGGGAGGCTACAGCTGGCAGAGTCTGCTTCTGCAGAGGGCTCTAATCTCGTCTTCTGACAAAGGGCCTCGGGGCTGCCTCGCTGGATCCTCCTGTCTGCTCGCTCACTTGCTGTGACTTTCGGCGGCTACTCTCCTCCGCTGGGCAGCAGGGGCTTCGCCCACCCAGCCCAGTGGTTAACGTTGCCCACTTTCAAGATGAGAGCCACAGAGAGGCCTGGAGCTGTGTGGCAAGCACTTCCCACCAGCTTTCCTTTGTTACTGTTGTCATTGTCACTGCTGCTACATGGGGCAGCAAGCTGGCCAGGGTGCAGTGTGTGCCCTCCCACCCTCATCCCCACCCTCTAGAGCAGAAAGAGGCTCACAGCTGCTCTCCAGGACTGGGTGCAGCTGCACGGCCATACTACAGCACAGTAAAACTGGAGAGGAGCTTTAAACCCATGGAACAAGGAGCCTCAAAGAGGCTAAGCGCCTTCCAGAGGGTGACAAAGCAAGTGCATGCGCAGAACAAGAGCCAAACACATCCAGTTTCCAGCACGCTGTGCTTTCCTGTGCCCCACATTCTCCTCAGCCCAAACCTTGTAAAACAGATGTGACAGACTATAAATGCTCAAGATTTGGGAAGAAAATATAGAGATTAACACTACCAGCTCTCAAGTAGGAACAAGGGAGAATAAAAACAGGCCAAAATTATAAGCCAAGTGCAGTTAAATAAACCTTCAAATGAACTATGCCCAATTAAGCACAACCTACCATTAGACTCCAGGGGAATTTAAAGCCATACTTTTAGCAGAAAGCTCTGGCCATGGAGGCTTCATGAAGATACACACAGAAACAGCCACCAGTCTGACAGCCAGAAACAAAGACAGTTCTTTCTCTACCAGACTGGGCCATGGGAAACGGGTGTGCAAATGATAACCTGGGCCTGGCGTGTCCCTGAGTCACAGCAGGACCCTCTCATTAGGCTCAGCATGGCCCGAGGAGGCGGGGGACAGGACAGGAGGGAGGGGCCGTCCACAGCAGGGCACTGTCCACTGGACCCGCAGCTCCTGGGGTCCCGCCCAGCCCCCTCTAAGTCACCATGGTCACAGCAGGTGTCTGAGAGCCGTGTGGTGAGGACACTCGCTCACCCATCGTGATGTTCCTGAAGCCCAGCGTGATCAGCCGTGCCTTGTGCTCATTCAGCTGGTGCTTTGACTCATTCAGGACGCTGTTGGCCCACAGCAGCAGATTGGTGAACACTGAGTGGATCACCCCAAACCTGGAACACACAAGGACTCAGCTTTTTCTTTTGTTTTTTTGCAGTACTAGGATTTGAACTCGGGGCTTTTGCACTGAGCTGCATCCTGGTCTCCTTTTCTGTTTTGAGACAGGGTCTTCTAAATCACGAGGTTGCCTGGGATGGGCTCAAACTTGCAGTCCTCCTGCCTCAGCCTACCAAAGTGCTTAAATTACAAGCATGCCCTACCATGCCCCCTTAAGGACGCAGATCTTGAGCAGTGCTTGGAATGCTCTGAGCCCCCTGAGGGGGGGTGTCACACACATGCACACACACACCCCCCAGAGTCTGGCTCCACCTGATGGCTCAGGCTCTGGGCGGGTCTCTGGTGGCAAGGGAGAGTCCCCGGACTCCAAACCCACAGAGTCTTGGCATTTGGCCTCAATCTTGCAGTTGCCAGTCCTCCGCTCATTGTCTGTGGGACATCAAAGAAGCTGCATGTTGGACGCAGATGTTCTAGGAAAGAAAATATACTAAAGATGAGCAACCAACCCTGCAGCCCAGCCCTGTTTCCCAGAAGGGAAGAGCGAGGGGAGAACAATGAAGAGAAAGGGCTGTGCTGAAAACCTGGACCCTAACTGTTGACTGACCTACCCAATAATCACCATTCACCCTGCTCTGCCTTCCTACCTACATTCAAAGACACTGAGACAAGCGTCTGGCTTCCCTTCCAACTAGACTTGGCCTTTCTGGCCAAAGCAATGTGAGATGTAGTCTGTGAGGCACTACTGAAAAGCTTTTTTGGTTTGTTTGCTTGGAACCGGGGATCGAACTCGGGACCTTGCGCTTGCGAGGCAGGCGGCAGAACCACTGAGCTAAATCTCTGGCCCATGTTTTTGGGGTTTGTTTTTGTTTGTTTGGGGTGTTTTGGGTTTTTTAGGGGGGGAGGGGGTTTTGGTACCAGGAATCAAACTCAGGACCTTGCACTTGTGAGGCAGGCAGTGGAACCACTGAGCTAAATCCTTGGCCCATGCTTTTGTTTTTTTAATGAAAGATAAGAATGAGAAAATTCTGTTTATGATCTCTATCTCTGTTTTTAATAATCTTGAGTGTAGACCTGAAAGCTGGATCTGTGGCAGCCATTTTGTGACCATGAAGCAAGCAGCATGGGATGAAGCCCTACCTCTGAGGATAGCAGAGTACAGAGCTAGAAAATACCCACGTAGTGCTGACATTGTTGAGCTTCTGCAAGCCCAGCTGGGTTCTGTAATTAGCCCATGGTCACATGCAGGATAAGAGGCCACACTAGGGTTTGAAGGGTCAATAAATAGAGGTGCTTTCTAGTCTGAGTCAAGTGTCCTTCCCTTACCTCTCTGCCCTGCTGCCTCCTAAAACAAAGGCTTAAAAGGAGGCGAACAGGAAGGTGGACACTGGGATGTGGGAAACACAAGAGACTGGAGGAGAAAGACATGGTCCCCACAGGGCTTTGTCCAATGCAGTTTCTCTGCAGAGTCCCTCGGGAGCAGCCATGAGCCACATTCACCACAGTGGTCTCCAGGACACCAGCACTGAGCCTGCAAGCAGCATGCTGAAACCTTAAGCCTAACCATAACCTTCTACCCCTAACATTACCATAACCTTAACCCCCTAACCCTAATGCACTAACCCTAAGCTTAACCCTAACCCTAATGCTCTAACCCTAAGCCTAACTCTGACCCTAACACTCCAACTCCAACCCACCAGTAGACAGCAGCACAACTGGGGCCATGAAGCCCTGTGATTTCAAGAGAGGCCTCCTGGAAATTTCCTGTGGATCTGCTCACCAGAAACTTGGGCACAGAGGCCTGGAGACACATTTCCCACCACTGCAGGCTAAGCAAGTCCCCACGTCCTTCTGTGAGCTGCTTCCAGGACAATGGCACAACAGTGTCTTCCACCTGCCCCCACCCTCCCTGAGTCTCACCCAGCTGACCCCAGAAGCTCCTGCGAGTCACACAGGCAGCTCCTTCCCTCAATTGGCCCCGCCTGCCCTGGCAGCTGCTAGTGTCCAGGTGAGCAGGGGAGAGACAGAGGCCAGGGTTGAGCCCGGTGCTTGCCCGTCTGCTCCCTTGTGCCTTTCCAGGCTGCAAATCACAGCCACCTCCCCTGGGTGTCACTGATGCAGTCTGCAGAGCCTTTGACAAAACACACAATGCTGTGCACCTCCACCTGGTGGCTTTTCTTTCTCTTTCAATGCACAGCACCACCCTTTCTTTTCTTTCTCCTGGTCCAGGTGGCACCATCCAGTCCTGGACCCACTGAGACTGAGGAGGTGGCCCTGGTGCTACCCAGGGCTGAGGCATTTCCCAACATGCCCTCTCCCTTAGAACCCTGGAAAGCATCCTACAAGCCAAGGACAGGCATCATTTCCTTGCCACCCTCCCCACACTGGGAGCCGATGATCGATCCCAGGGCCCACTGAGGGTAGTTTCCACAGCTGTTACTTTTTTTGAGGGTGGGGGTGGTTGAGACAGGGCCTCACTATGCAGCCCAGGCTGGCCTCAAACTGTCAGTGATCCTCCTGCCTCAGCCTCCCAAGTGGTAGGATTATAGCCATTCACCTCCACGCCTCATTTCCATGAGCCATTTCCAAGTGTGATCTGTTTTCCAGCTCCACTGTGAGATCCACTGTCCCTCTGCCTGCACCCTTGGGGACAGGAAAGGATTCGAGTCAGCAAAGGGAATTCTTGGCTCAGGGGGAGCCCAAAGGCTCCCTCTCCAGTTTGGGAAAGAGGCTCAGAGAAGGGACACCCTGGACCCCAGACACTGGCCACACAGGGCTGCATCCCAACCCCATTCAGATCCAGTGACTGGTACTTGGGTACAATGGCAGCGTCATCCAGGACACCATAATGCAGGACACAGGTAGGAGCTGCGTGTGTCATTTTAAATTTTCTAGCACCCATATTTTCAAAGTAGTAAAAAGGGCCAGGTGTGGTGGCACATACCCATAATCCCAGCGTTCTGGGAGGCTGAGGCAGGAGGATCACAAGTTCAAGCCTAGCCTGGACAACTTGGCAAATTAGTGAGACCCTGTCTCAAAATAAAAAATAATAATGGCTGGGGATGTACTGCAGCTCAGCCCAAAGGCCTTGGGTTCAATTCCCAGTTACCAAAAAAAAAGGATCAAGTGAAATGATCATAATAATATTCTGCTAAATCCAATATATCTACTACGGTATCACAGCAACATATAATCAATACCAAGAAACATCACTGAGAGATTTTCCATCTGTTTTTCATCCAGTGCCCCTGTGCGGCTGGCAGCTGCCACACCCAGCCGAGCAGACCTAGAGGGCGAGCCCAGGGCCACCTCCACCTGGGAACTGCACCAAAGGTCCTGATGAAGCAAGTGCCAAAGCAAAGGGAAAGATGGCGCCTGGCACATCCTGCCCGCCACCACACTCACTTGCTTTCATGGGGACAGCAGTGGTCAGTTCAGTGCCAGGGGACGCAGAGCTGTGCCAAGAGGTGGCCTGGCCTCATCCCGGCATCATGGCTCAGAGCCTCTGTTTCCTCACCTGCTAAATGGGCTCCTGGTCAGATCTACAGTCCCTAATGGGCAGGGCTACCACACGAGAGGACCTCAGAGGTAACAGGTGAAAAGGAAGTGCTTTCTTGCCGGGGCAGGAAACACCACAGACTAGGATTCCTGGCCTCCAGCCAGCTGTGTGACGTATGTTTGCCGGGACAACTCTGCCTTTGTTCCAGCAATTCCACTTCTAGGAACTTACCCCAAGAAAGCAACCAGAGGTGTACAAAAATATATTTTACTAGAGGTATTCATCACAGTACTGCACTATTACCCCAAAGTTATATGGTGAAATCCCCATTCGCAGTGACAGCTTAGGGGGACTGTCAGCCGGATTGGCTTCAGAGCCACCCAGGAGATTAGTAAAGCACACTTGTGCGTGTGTCTCAGTGGGTCATGGAAGGGTGACCTTGGGGACTATATCGGGTCCCTGTTCCCTTCCTCTCTGCCACTGTTCCTCTGGTCTGCTTCCTAAAGGCCATGAACTAAGCAGCTTTCCTCTACCATGCCCTTCCGCCATGATGCTCCTCTGCCTTAGAATCAGCCCACCATGGACTGAGCCCTCTGAAACCATGATCCAGATGAAACTTCTCCACCTGTGAGTTGTGAGTGTTGAGTATTGTGTCCCAGTAATGAGAAAGCTGACTCATTCAGCCCCTATGTGACTGTCTTTGGAAACAGAGCCTTTAAGGAGGTGACCGAGGTTAAATAACATCGTAAGAATGGGGCCCACGTGGCTGGTGTCTTTATAAGAAGAGAAAGAACACTGGAGATCTCTCTCTCCCTTCCCACCATGACAGGACAGTGAGAGGGTGTCTCTGAGCAAGCCAAGAAGAAAGCCCTCACCCAACACCAACCGTGCTGGCACCTCGACACTGAACTTACAGCTAAGATCACCTCTTCCAGATTCCCCTGAGTCTCCTCTCGGCCTCTGAGAGCACGACCCTCATCGTGGGCCCCACCCTCATGACCCATCTGGCCCCGTCACTTCCCCAAGACCCCCAAACACTGTCACACTGGGGGACAGAGCTTCCACTTGTGACTTTGAGGGGCTGCAGCATTCTGTCCACCCCTGCGGCAGTGCAATGAGTGTTAGATTCCACTGTAGATAACAAGTTTCATGGGGGAAGTAACACTTTTTTGTTTTGCTTTTTTGCAGTACTGGAAATGGAGCCCAGGGCCTTAGCTGGAGCTGCATCTCCAACCCTTTTCATTGTTTTCATTTTAAGACAGAGTTTCCCTAAGTTGGCCAGACTGGCCTCAAACTTGTGATCCTCCTGCCTCAGCCTCCCAGAGTGCTGGAATTACAGGCTGCACCACCTCACGCCAGCTAAAGGTGCAGTTTTTAAGGAATAACTTTGTGAACCAGCTGAGGCACAGAGCCTGGGACAACAGCAGCCAGCAGCGTCCTCCAGCTGCAAGTCAAGCCAGCCTGGAGGAGGGGAGGGAGAGCCAGCCATGCCCCTGCCCAGCCAGGTGGAGCCGGGCCTCCTCTTGTGCTCTGGCTTCTGGGACAAAGCTCTCAGCCTGCTGGAAGTGCATCCTCAGCCACTCAAGGCAGATAAGAACAGTTACCCTCAGCCACCTCCGTGCGGGTTTAATGTGCTGTAGGTGGCATGGGGCTCTCTGTCCCACTCTGAAGGTCAATTAAGTCACCTGCCATGGTGCTGGGGGTCCTGGACCTCAGGTGCCCACTTCCATCCTTCTCCTGTCCTCCCCATCAGGAGGCAGGGCTTCAGGCACAACGGGGCTGAGGTGGAGGGCCACTGAGGTCCCCATGACAGACAAGGAGCACCAGCCCGGGCCACAGCCCTGCCCACGACTGGAGCTCAAGATGCCCTGGGCCAGCTGGCACTGATCCTGCTTTGTATGGGGCTGGCAGAATCTGTTTCTATTTCCATAGCCCTATTGAAATCTTCACCCAGTGGCTGTGTGGAAATCAGCCTTTAAACACCAGCTGTCACCTTCAGCAGCAGGAAGGGAGTTTTCTGGCCCTTGTGGAGCGATTATGTGACCAGGGATCTTTCTCTAAAGCAAACGCCAACCCCTGGAGCCTCGATCCAGTCTGGGCTGACCCCAGGTGGACTCGTCTTTCCAGGACCCGGGAGCTGTCTCAGTGTCTGCAATGGAACGAGACACAGTCCCGGGTTGCCTGTGATGACCTACTGGAATGTCCAACTCTATATGCAAAGCCACTCCCCACAGATTTTACCTTTCCAGTGTTTTGAAAGACTGGATAATGTCCTTTGCGTGGCCCCACAGAAAATACACCTGGATGGAAATAAAAGAAGAAAAAATACATCAGTGGGAAAGCTATCATTACATTGTACAGAGCAACATAAAATGGTTCTGATTTTTTTTTTTTTTTTGGTACTGGGATCTGAACTCAGGACCTTGCACTTTCAAGACAGGCATCGGAATCACTGAACTAAATCCCCAGCCCTGGTTCTGTTTTTGTAAAGTGAAAAACCTGAAATACAAAATTCTGTGCCTTCCATCTAAAGCCTTGCCAGACTGTGTACCTTTTACAGAAATAAAGGGAGTAAATTAAAACAATAATAAATGTTGTTTCCACTGATGAGCACACAAAGCAGTTATTTTCTCTTCCAATATTTTCTGTAATGTTACACTATATTTTTAAGTGCTTTTTTAAAAAAAAATTAGCATTGGAAGGAAGAAAGAAGGAGGGAAGGGGAAAGGGGTTTTTTAAAAAGCAAGCTGTGGGTCCAGGGATTTAGCTCAGTGGTTTCGCCGCCTGCTGTGCAAGCGCAAGGACCTGAGTTCGATGCCCGGTACCAAAAAAAAAAAAGCAAGCTGTAATATGGACACTTAGCCACTGTCCAGGAAGATTGTAAACTTCATGGACTAGAAACATGTTCTAATAAAATGAAATGAGAAAGCTCAATAGGGCACATGGGCTGGTCTCAAACTCGGGCTAAGAAGATCCCTCCTGCTGCCTCAGCCCCCTAAGTCATGGGGACTGCACACACAAGCCTAGTTGTAGTACTTTATTCTCTTGGTGGTCTGGTAAATTCATTGTTATCTTAATTCTGTTTTGGGGTTGCTCGTTGCTAGCGTATAGAAATAAGGCTGATTAAAGAACACTCATATTTTTTAAAAATTACCATTGGCTGAGCAATCCCACTTCTATCCCAAAGAATCAAAAGCAGAGTCTCAGAGATGTTTGCATGCTCATGTTCATAAGAGCATTACTCATAGTAGCCAAAAGTTGGTAACAACCCAGTGCCCGCTGACAGATGAAAATGGTACAGCCTAAATGTCCATCAAAAGGTGAAAAGAAATATGGTATTCATACACCATAGATCTAGATCATTCACACTCAGAGGCGGGAAGAGCACCGGCTTGCCAGGGGCTGGGCAGGGGCGGCCCTTAGCGTTTCATGGAGACAGAGATTCAGGCCAGGACAAGAGAAGAGGTCTGGGAATATCGGATGGTGGACATGGTTTGGCAACAAGTGAAAGTGTGTAACACAACCGGACCACGAATCTGAAATGGCTCAGACAGTCAACAGCATGAGTAGCTACTACGATGTTAAATATAGTTTCTAACATATTTTCTTTTTTAATTAAGTTTATTGGTACATTTTAGGTATACGTAATGATCACATTCATCACCTGTACATGATATACCTGGATTCTTATTTTTTTCCCATTCCCCTACCCTCCCTTCAACCTCTCTTCCCCTCCTTATTTTATTTTATTTATTTATTTTTTTTTTTTTGGTACCAGAGATCGAACTCGGTACCTTGCGCTTGTGAGGCAGGCGGCAGAACCACTGAGCTAAATCCCTGGCCCCTCTTTATTTTAAAATATATTTTCTTTTCACATCCCACCACTCAGGAGTCTGAGGCAGGAGGAGCTTGGTGAGTTCAAGGCCAGCCTAGACTAGATAGCAAGAACCTGTCTCAAAAAAAAAACACCTCCAATAAATAAGTAAATAATTTTCTTCCGTTCTCCAGTCCTCTTGTGTAGCAAAGGGACATCGGCAGTATCCAGTAAGTACAGAATGACTAACTGATTGACTTATAAAATGCCTTAAATGAGAAAGATAAAGATATTCAATCCACCGACTAGAATAATATCTTGAAAATTCGTTTGTCCTGGTTGTTCCTCTGCCTGAAGCCTTCAATGGCTCCCAGAGCCCTCAGGGTGAGGCCCAAGCTGCTACGTGGCCATCAGCCTTGACCAGTCCTTGCTGCATGCTAAGTCCTGTGCCAAGGGCCTCACACGAGAAGACCGTGCCCCACGGTGTCCTGCCTGGGTGCTCTCTGACCTGTGCCCGTTGCCCTGTCGCTGCCGCTTCCCCCCGGCTGGTGGGTGCCCCTCTGAGCATCCCTCACCCACGCACGCCCAGGCCATGCTGTCCTGTCTGTGACTGTCTCCTTCTCACCGACGACCCTGCACAGGCTCAGGAAGTGGTTTCCCACCCTGCATGCCCCGCGCCGAGAACAGAGTCTGCCCAGTCCCTAGCACGCAATGCGTGAATGAGCGACCAACGAGGGTCTTCCTGGCCTCACGAGGGCTTTCCACACTGGCGTCACGGTGAGACCCCGCCACTGGGACACGTGCAGGATGGATCGGGGGTCCCTGGAATGAAGAGCCAGTCACCTCCGATTTCGTGCCCTCGGGCTGCTGCGAGAAGCAGCATACAGGGCACAGATTCATCCCAGAGCGCTGCAGGCCCGGGTCAGACACAAAGGCGCTGGCAAGGCCGGTGCTCCTGGGGCCTCTCTCCTTGGCGGCGGTCGGTGACCTCGCCTGTGTCCTCGCGCGGTCGTCCCTCTGTGCGTGTCTGTGTCCTGACGTCCACTCCAATGAGGACACCAGGCAAACTGGACGGGGGCCCGTGCTGGCGACCTCGTTTACCCTCACATTCCCTCCAGAAGGGCCCGTCTGCGCCTCGTCACATCCGAGGCATCGAGGACAGGTTTCGGTGGGCATTTGCCAGCATGATCCTCAACCCAAAACTCGCAGCCACGTAGCCGCTTCGAGGAGCCCCCTAGAGAACTCCTGACCCGGGCCACCATGTTACACTGACCCCACTGCCCCGCACCCCCCCCCCGGCCAGTCCCGCCCTGCTGGGGTCACCACCTGGGTCACGTCTGCTCCCTAGAGACATCCACAGCCACCAGCGCTGTCTGCCAAGTCGGCGGGTGCACACGCTGGGCATGGCTTGGAGAAAGACAGAGTTTGGAAACCGTTCCTTCCCCTTGCCAGAGGTGGAAACTGTTTCTGAAGGACACTTGCAGGCGGGGAGTCTGGAAACATGTGAGCCAGGACTGTGTCGCTGGTCCACGTCCACAGCCTCCAGGGCAAGTTGGGTGAGGAAACCATCTCTGCATGACAGCCGTGACTGAAGGGGACCCCACTCGTGCTCCCTGAGATCCAGCTTCCTCCCCCGAAAACGTGAGGCTGAATCCAGACCACACGGTGGATCTCAAGGACGCTCTGCAAAGTGAAGGAGCCAGGCAGAGAAAGACACGGCAACGTCTCACTCCAAGGCGGGTCAAACGCTAAGAAACAGAAGGCGCAGAAGCAGGGAGGGGAAGGACAAGGTGGAGGGGTGGGAAGGGGCGTCCCAGATACCGAGCTGCACAGAGCACGTGGGGCAGATAGGATTAGAGACCTGACACTGGCTGGAACTGCAGAGAGACTAGAGTTTGGGTGCTGGTACCACAAAAGAAAAGAGAAAGGAAGCAGAGATATGAAAGAGCAGACATCGTCATTTGCTTGACCGTAGTGATCACTATGTGTATCTGTACTAAACCATCATGCTCTACACCCTAAATATGTAAGAAGATTTAAAACGAGAGTAATGATCCAATGTCTGTTCTTTTTTACGTATTTTACTAATTGACATAGTTGTACATATTTATGTAGCGCAGTGTGACATTTCAGTTCATGTATACAACGTGCAATGACCAGATTGGGGTAACTGACCACCTCAAACACGTGTCCTCTCTTTGTTAGGGACACTCAGGATTTTCTCTGGTAGCTACTTTTAAATATGTGATTAACTGACACACCAGGGTTCCCCCACCTTGCCATAGAGCGTTAGAATGACTCCTCCTGCCCAGCTAGCTGCCCCCTGCATCCATCAGCCGTCCTCCCTAGTCCCTCCCTCACACCCTTCCCCGGCTCTGGTAACCACGATTCTGCTGTCCACCTCTGTGAGATCAACTCTGTCACGTTTACGAACAAGTGAGAACACGCGGTATTTGTCTTTCTGTGCCCGACTTGTCTCACTTAACATAATCCCCTCTGGTCTCATCTATGTTGCTGCCAAAGACGCGACCTCATGCTTTGTATGGCAGAATAATATTCCACCATGTAGATACACCACATTCTCTTTATCCATTCATCCATCAATGGACACCTAGGTGGGTTCCATGTCTTGGCTTTGTGAAGAGTTCACCCCTGTTCCTGTAGAAACGTTGGAAGGATTATACAAAGAGATAAGTGCAAAGCACCTTGCATATCCTAAAGTGCTACAGAAATATTGCTCCTTGAAACTCTCATAGCTGTTACAAGAAATTTCTGCTAAGGATGATGCTAATCAGGACCCACCTAAGTTTGTTTTGTTTTGTTTTGTACTTTTGAGACACGGTCTTCTGTGTAGCCCAGGATGGACTTGAACTCACTACGTAGCCCATGTTGGCTTCAAATTTACAAGGATCCTCCTGCCCCTCCTGAGTTCTGAGATTACAGGTGTGCACCACCACATGTGGCTTATCTAAGATTCTTTTCAACCATGAGATTTTTCTGCCTCTAAGCTATGTTTTTATATTATGTCAGTCAAATCCTTACTTCTTAGCCACCCCACGTTCATCAATGTGGAGAAAAAGCACCTCATATATTTCTAAAAGATTTTAATCTGCAACTGAGAAAACAAAAAGTATGTCTCAGTGATCCAGGGGGGTTACTGACCTGGCCCCAGACCCACCCTGGGGAGTGATGAAAACGTTCTTTTAAAAAAGAAAGAAAGGAAAATGCTCTTAAATTGATGGTAGGAGCGGGCATGGTGGTGCATGTCTGTGATCCCAGCACTCTGGGAGGCTGAGGCAGGAGGATGGCAAGTTCCAGCCAAGCCTGGGGAACTTAGCAAGTTAGAGAGGCCCCGTCATGAAAGAGAAAATAAAAAGGGAAGTGGGGGTGAAGCTCAGTGCAAAGGCTCGGGCTTCAAGCCTTAATGCTTGAAATGGAGAAAAAAAAATGATGGTAGAGTTGACTGCACAATTATGGACAGACCAAGCCATTAAACTAAATGCTTCAAATGGGTGAATTACAGGATATGTGAATTGCATCTCAATAAAACTGTTTATACCCAGAAAATAAAATCCCCCAAGACTTTCCTGGTGGGCTCTGGCTTGGTAGAGTGCCCTGCCTCCCCATCTGTACCGTTTCTGTTTCACAGGATCCCTACAAAGAAAGCGGGGCACCGAGTCCTGCTCCACAGTGGGGGATGGCAGGGTTGAACCCCGGAGACCCAGCCCAGGTAACCTGGGGACTCGTGCAGACTCCACTGGGAGAGGTCTCGGGTCACGGGTTTGCATGCACTCGGGACAGACTTCACAGAGCACAGATAGCAGGAGGGGCTTCCGCAGTTTACCTGCAGCAGCGTGTGCAGTGCGTGGGTGACCGGGAACACTCCTTCGGCGGCCGACAGACACTCAGAAAATCCAATGAAGTAGCCAACTTTGAAGCATCCTAGGATGATGGTAATGACTGCAAACAAGGTGACACTACCTGAATGGGGGAGACACACATGGGTCAATACGCACGGACCTCAGTTCAAAACAAATTGTAGTAAACCCTCATAGGTGTGACCAGGGGTGGCAAGACCACTCGATGGGCTATGGCAAGATTTTCAACACATGGTGCTGGGAGAACTGGATATCAAAAGAATGGGCCAGCTGCGGAGGCTGAGGCAGGAGGATCACTGTGAGTTTGAGGCCAGCCTGAGCTACATAGTGAGTTCAAGACCATTATGAACTGCATAGCAAGACCCTGTCTCAAATAAATAAATACACACATACATAAATAAATCAAGTTGGACCCTTACGTTATACTATATATAACAATTAAATCAAATGGATCAAAGATCAAAATATCAAAGCTAAAAGTACAAGACCATTAGAAGAAATTGTAGAGGAAAACTTTATGACATTGGATTACACAATGATTTCTTGACTCTGACAACAGAAGTACAAGCAAAAAAAGTAAAAATAGATAAATTGAAAACTATCAAAATGAGAAATTCTATGCATCACAGAACACTGTCAACTGAGTGAAAAGATAATCCATAAAATGAGAAAATATTTGCAAACTAAATCTCTGATAAATCATTAAAATCCACCATATATAAAGACATCTACAATTCAGTAACAACAAAATTAAAAATAGGCAGAAGGTTTGAACAGGCATTTCTCTGAAGATATAAGACAGCCAGTAAATACACGAGAGGACACCCGACATCAGGAGTCATGAGGGAAATGCAAGTCAGAACCATGAAACCCCACCACACATCCATTCGAACCGCTACTATTTCAAAAAACAGAAAATAACAAATGCTGCTGATAACATGCAGAAATCAGAATCTTTGTGTACTATTGGTGGGAGTGTAAAATGATATGGCCACTCTGGAAATGGTATGAAAGTTCCTCAAAAACATTAAACATACAGTCACTCTATGAATCGACAATTCCACTCCTGGGGATATACCCGAAAGAACTGAGACGGGGAGTCCACTTTCACATCACAGCTGCATCATATCACAGCAGACCAAGTGTCCACTGATGGTTGAATGAATAAAGAAAATGAAGGGAGGAAATTCTAACACATTCTCCCACGTGACTGAACCCCAAGGGCGTTGCGCTAAGTGATGTAAACCAGTCACAGGACAAAGACGAGCGACCTAAGTAGTCAGATTCAGAGAGGAGAGCAGGGTGGTGGTTCCAGGGACGGAGGAGGGGCGGGAGCTGATGTTTAATGGAGATGTTTAACAGGTTCCACTTTGCAGGAGGAAATGAGACAGAGCGGGCCAGGACAGTGTACATGTACTGAACGCCACCGACCTGCTCACTTGAAAACGACCAAGTTGGTAAATTTCATGTTGTGTCCATTTTACCATGATTAATAAGTTTTAAATTTATTGATAAAATTAATTCTGTTGTTAGGCTGATAAGCTAAAACTAGAAGATAGGCACTGTGCCCTGGTCATCTTTGTGCCCCCACGCATACCTAGGGTGTGACAAATGACATCCACACCTGACTCTCCACGGAGTCTCGCCCCAGGACGCCACCGGCGACCAACTCATCGCACAGGTCCCTGTTAAACGTTGGCATAGCATTTGCATATAACCTGCACACATCCTCCTGTGTGCTTTAGATGGTCCCTGGATTATTCATATCACCTACCACAACATAAACGCCATGCAAATGGTTGTTCTGCGGCGTCGTCTAAGGAGAACAACGGGGAAGTCTGCGTGTGCTCCGTGTAGCTGAATGGTTCTTCCTGCCTTTTTCAATCCACAGTTGGCTGAACTTGTGGGCGTGGAACCCACCGACCCAGAGCACCAGCTACACTGCCATGGGCAGACAGGAAGCGTGGCTCTGACCCCCCAAATAACAGCAAATCACAATATGCATGTGAAAAAAGGCAGGAAAGGAATTACAAAATGCACTGAAAAACTGAGTGAGGAAGAAGCTGCACAGGTGGGCGTCGTCACATCTCCTCGCCTGTCCAGGGCCAGCCGTGCGGCCGTGGACGTCCCTCCAGACCCACGAACCCGCCGGGTGAGCTGAGCACTAGGGCGGGCCAGCAGCAGGAGTAGGGCCGGAGCGGGTGGGTGATCATGTTGCAGCCCCGGGGGACGCCAGTCCTGGCTGGAAGGCAATCGCCCGGCTCCTTTCCACTGCTCAGAGCCTGACACAAACAACCCCAGGTCACGTTTCTTTAAATCCTGGAGGAACTCAGATGAAATCGGAAACTGTGAGAGTGGAGACTCAGCCCCAGTGCTCTGAAATGGTTTGACAAATACAAGGTTCATTTTGACTTTAAGAAAACAGAAGAAGGGCTGGGGATTTAGCTCAGAGGTTCCGCTGTCTTCCTGGAAAGCCCAAGGTCCCAAGTTTGATCCCCAGTACCCCAAAAAAAGAAAACAGAAGGAGAGAAGATGGGTAAGAAAACGAGGAGATGCCCCACTGCTGGGCGGCAGGAACCTGGTCCTGGAGCCACAGGACCCTGGCACTCAGATGTGTGACTTCCTACAGGTCACTGCCCCGCCTTGGCCTCAGTTTCCCTCCAATGAAATGAGGACAGTCCACAGCAGTGTGCCGGGAGGAATGTGAGAACACACACAGCCGGGCTCCCCCCTCCGCATTTCTGATCAGTGGGTCTGGGCAGGGCCCCAGTCTGCATGGCAGGTGCGGCTGCTGTGGTTGGAGGGACTCTGCACTGGCCTAGAACACTCTGTGGTGGATGCGCCATGTATGAAAATATAAATACCTCGTTCACCTTCTCCTCTTGAGGTCCCCCCTTCCTTCCATGGACTCATTCACCCTTTTATAGCTACAACAAATATTTGGGGAATCCTCCTGCTACGGTCTGGGCGTGGTTTGATCGCCTCTCCTGAAACTCCACGCGGTGGAAGCTCAGACCTGGTGAGGCTGAAAGGCCTCGGCGCCTTTCAGAGGTGGGGCTTAGTGGGAGGAGTTGGGTCACAGAGGTGTGGGCCTGGGAGGGGTGAATGCAGGTCAGCGGGATGCTGGTCAGTTCTCTCCAAACTGCAGACTGTTACAAAGGAAGGAGGCCACCCCACCTGCTCGGCCCCTCCTGCCCCCGGCTGGTTCCCTTTTCCACTGCTCTGCCATGTTAGGACACAGCCATGTGGCCCTGCCCGGATGCCACCACAGGGCAGCAGAATGTAGAATGGCGTGGGCAGCTGCTCCGCTTCCAATCCTGTCTTCTGCCACTCAGTTGATGACCTTGGGCAATTACTTAACCTCCCTGCACCTCGCTTTCCTCACCTGTAAAATGGGCATGATGGTGGGAAAGCCTCTCCGAGGGGTGTAGGGGAGATGACATGAATCATCACAGGGAAATTGCCTGAGACAGTGTCCCAGCCTCGAAAGTTCTACAAACGGGATATCATTATCATCATCATCTCGTCATTCAGCCGCGAAGAAAAGCTCAATGGATTAGAACCAATCAGCAGTTGGCCAGCCACACTGAGAATAATCCAGGAGCCGCCCGGGGGAGCATCAGCGTTGGCAGAAGGAAAACTTCCTCTGTGGGGGGCGCCCAGTCCCTCCCGGGACCCTCTGAGAGGTGGGGGCGCTCAGCTGCTCGAGTCTGCCATGCACTTGTGCTTCCTGGGAACCCTGCCCAGCAGCCCTAGCTCTCCCTGCACCCTTCCAGCTCCACTCCCGATCCTGTGGGGAAGATCCTCCTGCTCCCAAGGCGCAGCCAGCCCCACAGCTGCCACCGACTCCCCCTAGAGCTCCTGCCACCCACCGGTCACCCATTCAGTCTCCACAGCCCAGGCCCAGCCGTCTGGTCTGCTGACTCAGCCACTCCCTCCACAGTGTTGGGAGCCCAGACCCAGGCGAGCTCCGATCACCAGGGACTGGGTGACACCATCCCCCACTGCAGGAGCGCCCGGGAAGAAATGAGCAGGGCCGAGAGCAGGCAGCCCAGAGCTGCACTGATCCCAAGGAATCGGGAAAGGCTTCCAAGCAACTGTTACCAAAGTCAAAGCATGCCCCAGAGCTGACAGGCACAGGGCGGGCTGTGTTTCCTGCCCTGTGGGAGCTTCCTCTCTCCCTCTCTCTCTCTCTCTCTCTCTCCCTGCGATTCAACCTTTGCACCGAGCTACATCCTCAGTACTTTACATTTTTTTTGAAATATTGTCTCACCAAGTCACTAAATTGGCCAGACTTCAATTTGAGATTGTCCTGCCTCAGCCTCCTGGGATTACAGGGATGTGCCACCGTGCCTATACAGCCAGACAGCAGATCGGTGGCTCCGAGGGCTGAGGGTTCTGGGGGACACTGGGGCCTGCTAGGATTGGGGGTCTCTTCTGGAGCTGGTACAAATGGTCTGCACCTCGGTGAGGCTGCACGGATCTATGCGCTGCCTGCACACCTCAGAGCAAGCTGTGACACAGTGGCAGAGCTTGCCACACCAGTGGAGGGACAGAAGCTGAGGAAACAGACTGCCCTGTCCCGCAGGCAGCCCGTCTGCAGGAAAGCCAGGCTGTGCACTGAGGGCAGGCGCCTCGTTCCGGGGAAAAACAGAGCGGAGCCCCATGCTCCAGACGCAGGGCCTCGTTTGGAAGTCAGCAGGTGTCAGGGACCCGCGCTGACCGCCACCTCCTCCTCCTGCACCCCAGAAACCCCCCATGGGGCCTTGCAGCCCCTCACCAGCCGTGCACTGCCCCATGAGTCCTGGCCGCTCCCCACGACTGTGTGTTCCTTCTCTGTCCTCCCCACACACACACACACACACACACACGCATGCGCACACGCGCATGCACGCACATGCATACTAGGTGTACTTACATCCACCCCTTTCAGCAACCTTCACTTTCTCATGGAGCTGGGAACAGCCTGCTTCCAAAAATGATTCTTACGTCCCCACCTTCAACTCCACAGCCTGGCCTGTCCCCTGCCACCCCAGCCCCAGCCTGGGGTCTCCTCAACGGCTCACTTCGGCCCCTTTACCCCTGAAGGGCAGGGCTGGCCACAGACACCGGTGTGATGAATCAGACAGGGATGTGCTCATTTTAAGGAAAAAAAAAAAAAAAGTATGTGAAAATCTGAACCAATAAAAGGAGTAAATTTAGGGTGAGCATTCATGCACAAAAGTCTATGACAAATCACTGGAACATGGGCATGGTAATGCAGGCCTGTAATCCCAGCTCTTGGGAGGCTGAGGCAGGACGATTGCAGCCAGTTCGAGGTCAGCCTGGGCTACATAACAAGATTCTGCCTCATGAAAAAAAAACGTATTGGTTCAATGCTTGTAATGAGTGCCGAATTCCAAATACATTCAATAGAGGTGGCTATGGCGTGTCTCATTGTTGTTCCACAGCTTTGTATTAAAAGCATTTCTCCGGGGGCTGGGGAGTTAGCTCAGAGGTTCCAGTGCCTGGCTCAAACGCACAAGGTCCTGAGTTGGATCCCCAGTACCAAAAACAGAACAAAACAAAACAAAAAAACCACTTCTCTGGCCTTGAGATAGGACAGAAACAATTTTTTAAAAAGATACCTATCTCTGCCACACCATCTTTTAAAGAGGAGAAGCCGGGGCATTTATTAAGGGGCATTTAATTAATGGTCCCCTGAACATCACACACCAGACACCCTGGGCAGGCATGAGACAGCCAGGCTGCTGTCTCCTCTACAATAAACCAAACCCTTTTACTTAGCAAACAGAGGGGCTGGGCTAATAATCCATCCTCACTACCAACTTTTTTTTAAGTAGGTCAGTGTTTTTTTGTTCCAGAGAAAGTCTTACCTATTCATACCCAAGAGGAGGGACGGGATCCCTCCTGCTCAGAGAGGCTCAAAGTCTACGCTGAGACTCAAGGACTTTCTCTAGAAAGCTTCACTCGTGGCCGGCATTCCACTGTACAGGCGGCTTTCCCAGAACATGACACTGAGAAGACCTTCAGGAAGCACCTGGCAGAGCCAGTCCCGGGTCAAACCTGTCTTTCCGGCTGTGACTCCTGGGAAACCTCAGCCCCTGGCTCATGCTCTCCCTCTGACTCCCGACTGCCTCTTGCTTGTCTCTGAAGCCACAGCCGTCCAGGAACGGCCAGGCAGGACGACGAGGTGCACCCCTCTCTCTGCCTCTCCAGCTCCTCCCCAAGAGGCGGCTGGAACGCTTACCTTACCCAGGAGGAGATGCGGACTCAGAAGGGTGACGGTGACAATCTCAGGGCCAGCCTGCCTTCACAGTGCGCACACCTTGCTGAAAGGCTGTGAACACGGGACGCCTCGTCCCGGGGGCAAATGGCCTCCACCACTGAGCTCCCAGGGCGGCCTCTCTCCTCTCCTCTCCCGCCCGGCCTGTCTGCTCCTCTGATCCTTGGACGAGCTGCGCGGCCGGACCTGTCCATGGAGAAGCCTCACTGTCCTCACCCTGTCTGTGCTCTGGCTTCCAAGTCTTGGAAAAAGCATGAGCCCCGATGGAGAGCCCACAGGGGGCTGGGTGGGGGGTACAGGAAGCAGGAGGGAGGAAGGAGGGAGGAGGAGGAGAAGGAGAGGGAAGAGAAGGGAGGGATGGAAGGATGGAGGAGAAAGGAAGGAAGGGAGAGGAGAGAAAGGAGCTTCCTCAAGGAGAAAGCATAGGGATGCAGCGGGTGTGCGACCTTCTTTAGCCTGTGTAAGTCAAAAACTAAACTGAAGAAAACTCAGCATCTCGTCTTGTTCCTGTGCTTTACAGTACAAGCCCTGGCTTCACTGCCGGTCTCAGAGAGCCACAAACCAGGAACCTCCCTAAAACAATGGCTTTCAGACCAAGACTTCGGGCCTCCTGGAGCGATGTGGGAAAACTGTCCCGAAGGGTCACAGACAGAAACTGGCGGGCAGGAGGAGCCCTGGGAGGAGGGATGTGGACGCCTACCTCCCGGGAGAGCAGAGCGCGGGCCACCCCACCCGCACCGCCCTGGATGTCACTCACACAGTGGCTTCTCCACCCGGCTGCCCCGCACCGCCCCTCCCACCCCTCGCGCCTGCCCGTTTTGTCCTGAGTCACGTGTCCCTCTGGCCTGAGCCACGTGTGTCCCCTTTGGCCTGCTCACCTCCGTGTTCCTTTGAGGAGCAGCCGCCCTGGCCAGCCTGGTCAAGCTGTCCTGAGTCTCCCCTGACCCCACTCACTGTCACCCCACTTCCTCAGCCCTGGCCTCGAAAGGCACTGCAGCAGCAGCTCTGGGACACGGGACACGGGAGGGCGTCGCACAGCCCCGCTGGCAGCTGGTGGAGGGGTGGAGGAGTCACAAGGACGGCAGTGTTGGAGCCGGCCACAGCAGGGGGACGCTGTGGTCAGAGCCACAGAGCGGTGGTCGTGGTCGGGAATCCTCCCAGGCCGAGCCAAGCCAGGCTTGGAAGGCAGAAGGGCCAAGGGGAGGGTGGGACCGAATCTTCGAAGCGACACTGTGCGGTGCCTCAGAGCCTGCGGACACTGGGGCGCAGGGAAAGGGAAGGAACGGACCACCTGAGGCCACTTCCAGAGGGGCATCCATAGCACCCAGTAAGCAGGGCAAGCTCTGCGCAAGTTTGTGTGACTGCAGCTCCAGAGAAGGGAGGCGAGAGAGCCGGGCGGCAGCGCGCACCCAGCTTTAAGAGAGGAGAGAGAAGGGAACGCCAGAAAGCGCTCAGGGGAGGCCGAGGCAGGAGGCGGCGGCGCACTCACCGCGGAGCCAGCGCGCCCCGGCGTGCGCGTCCTTGGGCCGGATGAGGCGGCGCTGTGCGTAGCTGCGGCCCACGTACCACAGCATCCAGAGCAGCTGCAGGAGCATGAGCACGGTGAGCAGGCTCAGCAGGTGGCGCTTGCCCACGCCCGCCGCGTGGACGGCCCAGGCCAGCAGGAACAGCAGCCCCGCCACGAACACGTTCAGCCCGTACTGGCTGCTCAGCGCCTCGGCCACCTTCTGCGGGACGCTGCTGCGCGCGGCGCTCCGCCGGGGGCCCGGGGAGCGCGGGGGCGGCGGGTAGGACGCGGGGTCCTGGGCGCTGTCGGGCGCGCCCCGACCCTCGGACATCTTCCGGAGCCGCTCGGCTGTCCCCGAGGTGCTGAGGCCGGCGCGCCCGCGTCTCCGGGCTCCCGTCGGCGGCCTCCCCTCTCCTGCCCCTGCGCCCTCCCACAAGGTCCCCGCCCCGAGCGCTCCCGCCCGCCCGCCCGCGTCCCCTCTCAGCCCTCTCCCGTCCCCTCGGTCCCCACCGGGCCTCCTCCAGCTCCGCTCCCTCGCGCCAGGCCAGCCCTGCCCGGTGCCCCCTGTGCGGACCCAGCACCCGCTCCGCTCCCGCGCGCACGGAACAGCGGACGGCGAGAGGTGCAGCGGCCGGGAAGGCAGGGGCCAGGCAGGGGCCGGGCAGGGGGATCCAGGGGTCCTCAGCGCCAGCCCAAGGGGAGGCAAGGGTGTGAAGGCCGCCAACCCGGGCGCTCCGCAGCCCTCTGGGTGCTCCCAGCTGTCCCCGTGGTCTGGCTGAGCCGAATGTATGTGTGCGCGTCCCTACACCTGTCTGTCCTGTCCCGCCCGGGAGTAGGGGAGCGCGCTGCCCCGAGGGTAGAAGAGGAGGCACCGCGTGCAGTCTGTCTATAGGGGGTGCCTCATATTGGGGCTAGGTGAGGTGAGCCACTTCCTAAGGAAAGAGCGCGCCCCTCGCTCAGGGGTAGGGACCCCAGCGCTGGGGGTGGGGATCCCTGGGCCTCCAGGCGCCCAGCCCCGGACTCCCCTTCCCAGGCCTCCTGTCACTCCAGTACGAGCAGAGCCGGAGCTCGAGCCACGAGCCACGAAGGGGCTGCTTTCTGGTTGAGAGGAGAGGCGGAACCTCCGGGGCGGTGGGAGAGGGGTGCTGGGGGACCTCGTGGGAGTCCTTTGTGATTAAACCGGGGGTGGGGGTGGGGGGTTAATTCTCTCCAGCTGCCCGCCCTCTTGGAAGTGTTGGATTTTAAACAAAGGGCCCAGGAGTGGAGTTTGCACTGAGCCAAGCAGATCGCAGTAGCAGTAGCAGTCCTAACCTCTGAAGGCCGGAAACTCTGGACCCAGGAGAGTCGGGCCAAGGCCTCGCTTTCACTCATTCGTCACTTCATTCCGCATTCGTTTGTTGCACACATTCTCACCGGCACCCAGTGTTTGCCTGGCTCTGTTCCAGGCACTGGGGATTCAGCAGTGGAAAATCTTGCCCTCAGAAGCTGCCAGAGGCCGGGCAGACTCAGCAGGCAGCTTCTCCAGTGCCACCCCAGACAGCCTGGCCTGCCCTTGGGGGTGGGCAAGGCCCGGGGTGGGGCGGGAGCTGCCAGGAGGGGGGCGCTGCCTGTCAGGACGGCTGGGAGGGGCCCAGAGGCCACCCCTTCCAGGTTCTTTATGCAGTAGGAGCTGGCAGGGAGTGTGGGCACGGAGAGGGCTTGCCAGGAGAGCAGCCAGCCTGGACAAAGAGAGGATTTGAGATGCCCGTCGGACTCAGGGACAAGTCCATCTGGGGTCCTGAGTCTTAGTGCACGGCCCTCGGCTGCGTCTCCAGAGTGAAGGAGGCCTGGGTCTCCTTGGCAGCCAGTGAGGGTGTAGAGCGAGTCCCCAGGCATCTCCCTACACACCCTGTCCCCTTACCTGGCTTTATGTTCCTTCGTAGAATGTATTCCCTGCACTGTGCAGAACCTGTGGCCTGTCTCTCTCACGGCATCAAAAGCTCTATGAGAAGGGCTTTGTCTTGTTCCCTGCTAGCTCCAGCTTGTAGAACAGTGGTGCCCCCCACACAGTAGGCCTTCAGGAGAGGTATGTGGGGGGGGGCGGATGAATGAGTGAATGATGGCTGGGAAAAGAAGGCTAAGCCACCTGCCCTTCTGTCTTCTCCTGCGGACTTTCCCCTCACCATCACCTCTACTTCTCACCTATCACAGTTACTGTCTGTTTCTTAACCATCTTTTAGTTCTGAGCCCCGAGGACAGAATTACATCTGGCTCATTCTCCTCTCCAGCATTAAGCGTGTGCTCTTTTTCAGCCCGCTGGGGACAGCAAGGTGAAGCTCACAGCTTGTGCCCTGAGGACATGGAGGGGGAAGAACCTGTGGCTGGCAGGTGCCAGGGACCCCATGAATGCCTCAGGCCCCCATAAACACCAAACCACTTGGGTTCCATGTCCCTGTTTCACAGGGCAGGTTCCTATGCATTATCTCTAAGTCAGCCCAAATCCACATGGACTTGCTGGAAAAGGCAGCGTCAAGGGGTGGTTAGGTCAGGGAGGTCTTAAGTCAGTTTGGAAGATTTGGATCCAGTTCGGTCACTTCCTGCTGTGTGACCTTGCTCAGGTTCCTAAACCTCTCTGGGCTTTGGTTGCTTCAGGTAATAAAATGAAGCTCTTAGAAACAACCATGCTTACAAACTTCTGTGAGAACAAAATGAGCTGCTATGTGGACAGGTCTTCAGAAAGCACCTGCAATTTTCATTTTCCCTATGACACTGTCCCTGTCCCCTGAGCACCTACTGAGTGTCAGCCGCTCCGCTGAGGCTGCAGGGCAGAGGTGGCCAGCTGTGGGCCCAGCATGTGCTCCCTTTCCACCCGATGGCGTCGGTGCTGTTCCCAGGAAGCGGCTCCACAACCTGGGACATCCCCGTGTCCCTTGGATCTAGGCAGAGCCAGGCGACAAGTTCAGGGGGCATGCACACTCCCGGCCCAACCCAGCCACCCGGCAGCCACGCTGAGGATGGCAGAGCCTGTCAGCCTGGCCCCAGTGGCAAGTGATGCCCCTTCCCCAGCCGGGCCTGAACTTTACACTGGGCAAAGCCACCAAACTTTGAAATGTGTTTGTCACAGCAGCTACACTTAGCTTAACTCGCTGATCACCAAGGTGAATAGCTTCAGTGCCTTTGGAAAACAAGTGAGATCCCTGGCTCTGGGCCATCTTCAGTCTAGTCTTTTTTGGGGGGAGGAGGACAGGGCCTCTGGCAGGACTTGAACTTGCAGTCTTCCTGCCTCAGCCTCCAAGAGGGACAAGTGATAAATTACACATGTGCAATCTTTTCCAGTTCTCCATTCTTTCTAATAAGCAATGAAATGTAATTTTCTGGATGCCAGAAGCACTTTGGTCAAAGGACACAAAGTTTCCATTAGACGGAAAGAGTAAATTCAAGAGATCTGTTGTACATCACAGTGACCACAGTTAATGACATCTGATATTCTTTTTTTTATATTCTTGAAAAATCCTGAGAGTAGACAAAAATTAAGTGTTTGTGCCACAAAAAATTATACCAAGTAATACATCTGCTAATTAGCTCGATTTAGCCAGTCCAGTGTATGCATGTTTCAAAGCACCATGTTGTACACAATAAATATACACAGTTTTTGTATACTTATTAAAATTATAAATTACATAAATAAAGATGTTAATAAAAATATTATTTGATCTCTGCAATTGGAAAGTCTCTAGGTACAGTGAGCAGAAACCCAACTTGGGTCACTGTGAGGGACGATCAGAAACCAGACCTGGCCAGTTCCTGGACTCCGGGGAGTCCTTCAGCAACAGGGGATGGGCCCGAGAGGACCTCGCAGCAGTGCCACAAATGTGTCGTGTGCGCCTCCCTCCGAGCCCATCCCACGAATCTACAACCCCACACCCGGTGACATTCACTGCCAAAGGTCAACACACGGTCTTTGTCCTTTTGACAGGATGTAGAAGAGCTGCAAAGCCAATGTGGAATATTCCTACCTACTTTCCATCCAGCTTCCCCTAACACTTGATGCACCGTGGTACTTGGGTCAACCAGAATCTTTAACATTGATAGAATACTATTAACTACCAGGGTGTGGTGGCACATGCCTGTAATCCCAGCACTCTGGGAGACTTAGGCAAGAGGATCGCAAATTTGATCCCAGACTGAGCAAATTATCAAGACTTTCTCTGAAAATAAAAAATAAAACCTAGGGATATGGTTCAGTGCAAAGGCCCTGGATTCCACCCTTAGTGTAGGGAAAACTAATACCACTAAACTAGAGACATTTAGCTATTCCTCCAACGCCGTGTTTTTTCTATGCGGACCTTTTGGCAAACTGTAGACCAGGCAGAGTAGGTTCCCTGCTCACTCCGCCTGCTGGGTACAAACGGTAGAGAGCGGAGCGCTGTTCTGTGGAACCCATGACAATAGTAACACTCCCCCAGCCTCCTGTAGGCCCACAGATGGGGAAGCTCATAGCCAGCAGCGTGATGGGAAGGGACGCGACTGCACTCTCTGGTACAGTGTGGTCCAGGGAGGACAGATCCCCAGCCCTCCTTGGGGAGGGATCCAGGATGATCACTAAACCCTGGGAATTACTAACCCTGAGCAGACAGACGCTGAGGGTCAGATGCCTGGTCAACGTCCAGGGTTGGTCTCTGCTGCTGCCATCTGCTCCAATGCGGCAGACACCACCCGACTTAGCTCTAGTGTCTGGGGCTCAAGGCAGGAAGACTAACGCCATGGACTGAATATTCCTCCAAAACCACAGGTCAAAATGCTAACCGCCAAGGCCATGGTGCTAGGAGGCGGGGCCTCTGAGACACGATTGGGTCATGAGGGTGGAAGTGGAAGGGATTAGTGCCCTCATGAAAGAGACCCCTTCTGCCATGTGAAGTCACAGTGCAAACATGGCCAACCAAGCCGCACACCTGTGCTCCCAGCACTTGGGAGGCTGAGGCAGGAGGATTGCCCAGACTTTAAGGTCAGCCTGGGCTACATAGTGAGTTCAAGGCCTGCCTGAACTACAAAGCAAGACCCTATCTAGAAAAACAAAAAAATAAAAAAGATGGCCAACCATGCAGACCAGGCTCTCACCACATACTGCATCCGCTGGCACCTTAACCGTGGACTTCCCAGTCTCCAGAACTGTGAGAGACGCCTGTCTGTTGTTCATACGCCACCCAGCCCGTGGCGTTTGTTCCAGCGGCTGGAGCAGACAGAGACAACTGAATACCCAGGGGGACTTCGATGGCCAAGGTGGGAACAAGCTCCAGGCCCCTTTCAACACATCCCTGCCTGGAGTAAAAGACCACAGAGGCTGAGCTCAGCCCGAACCTCCTTCCCATGGCCTGTTATGCAGCCTGACGACTATTACGGTTTGGACCTAGAATCCCCATCCCCAAAGCTTCAGGTGTTCAGAGGGGGATTTGGGAAAGCGTTGGGTCATGGGGATGCCACGCTTGCTAATCCACTAGTGGATCCTCGGCTGAATGTGCTGCTGCAGCGGGGGACTGGGGACTGGGTGGAAGAGGAAAGGTGACTTGAAAAGGTTGGTCTCCCTCCCGGCTCCTTCCTTCTCTCTCCTTCCAGGCTGCCATGGGGTGAGCTGCTCTCCCCTGCTCAGACCCTTTGACCAGGCCTTCCTGCCTTGGAGCCAGCTGACTGGACTGAAAACGTGAGCCAAAGTAAGCCTCACCCCCTTTAAGCTGTGGGCATTGTGGGCATTGTGTTCCAGCGATGAGAAAGTGACTGAGACAAGCATCTTGCAGCCTTGCATCTGGGCTTCGGAGGACAGCATCCCAGGAAAGGACATACGGAGAGCACTCATCCTAGGAGACCTGGGCAGAGCTGCAGGGCTTTACAGCCTTGCCATAGAAGTTACAGAGGGCGACTTCTACAGAGGGCATGCTTTCTGTGAATGTAGTCAGAGACCACCCAGACTCAGGGAAAGGAGAAAGAGCCCTCTGTCCACGGGAGCTGTGTCCCAAACCTCCAGCCCTCTGTCATCATCGCAGCAGACTCTACTCTCAGGGCCAGTGGTAACCGGGGACCTTTGTGATATTGAGCCCATGCAAGGGCTCTCTGCTTGCCGCCACGCTCCTGCCACCTGAGCCCATCAAGCTCCCACCCAGGAGCCTGGCGAGAGGCTGGCAGAGTCCACAGAATGTGCCATTCTGCTTCCCTGCAGGGGTTGCCCCCGGTAAGCGTCCGGGCAAGATGCAAATCTCCACACGCTGTTCCAAGAGGACCCCGCCCAGCCCTGTTCCCCAAGCCTCCTGGTCACCCATCTTCCAACCCTTTCCAAGTCACTGATCATTGAGCTGAAGCAGCCACCTTTCCACAACCCTCTGTAAGTCAGGGTAGATTCTTACCTTGGACATCTATTAATCCAAAGAAACTGGACTGTGACGTGTACCACTAACTCCACTTTCTTTTCACTGAGGGGATTTTCCTTTACCACTCTCCCCCAGGGCCACCTCCGGGTGGGGCTGTGATGCTGCCGCTGTCCGCTCTGGAGTGGTGCCACCCTGTGAAGCAGAAGCACCTGAGAACTTGCCCTGAGCCTTTTCTGCCCACGGGAGAAAGTCCCCAAGTGGCCACAGATGTGGGGGAAGGAAAGGAAGCCATGCAGCGGGGTCAGTGTCCGAGAGGTGCTGGCCACCTGCAAGTGCAGCTCATGTGTTTCCACACCTGCGCAGTTCAGTTCAGTCCCATATAGGCCACTTCCGTCCGATAATGTACTGCTATGGTGCACGCCCAGCTTTATGGCTTGCTGGGTCAGATTACATCCAGGTCACATGGGGAGCCCAGTGGCCACTTCTCATAAATAGGTGAGAAGTTGTTTCTCCAAAGGGAAGCAGTTATCTGCAGAAGACAGTCTGGGTTTGCTCCCAAATCCTTGGGCTCTGGGCTGATTCTCCTACTGGTCCCTGCCAGTCTCCAAGCAGCATCACTGCTTCCCAAAGCCCTTCCAAGCAACACAGCGTGGCTGGGTTATCAGACCTGCAGCAGGCAGAATAATGGCTCCTAACGATGCCCATGTTCTGTTCCTTCCTGACGTTTTATTTTGTGTGCTGTGGTGTAGCGCTAAAGCATCTCCCAAAAATCTCCAGTTTCAGAGGTGTGGCTTTTGGAAGGTGATTGGCCCATGGCGTGGAAAGTCATCAGCGATTCACCCATGGATGAGTTCACAGCAGTGTGCTGTTAGGAGCTGAGCCCTGGATGGAGCCGGGTCACTGGGCTGTGACCGGGAAGGGTGTGTTCTTGTCCCAGTCCCTCCTTGCTCTCTCTGCTTCCTGGCTGCCGTGGGTGAGCAGCTCTCCTCCACCATGCCCTTCTACCAAGCCTTTTCTGCCTTGGAACTAACCAAACGTGGACGGGATCCTCGGAAAACTGAGCCAAAATAAACCCTCCTCCTTTAAATTGTGGGTGCTTTGTCCCAGTGATGGGAAAGTAACTAATACATTATGTTATGAGCAAAAGGAACAGTGAGGATGGGACCTGGGACCTCGAAATAGGAAAACTGCTCCATTATGGGGTGGGCCCAGTGTAAGCAGAGCCCCGTGAGAGTGAAGGGGTGGACAGAGGAGTGGGGCAAAGAACAAGGTCATGATGGGAGATGAGGGCAGGAAGTCAACACGCCAGGGGGACACAACTGCCACCACTGGCCCAGACGATGGAGGAAAGGGGCCACGTGGCAAAGAACGCAGAAGCTGAGCATGGCCCTCACTCGGCGGCCAGGTGGGAAATGGCAATGCTGGTCCTACAACTGCAAGAGACTGAATTCTGCCAATGTGCAAGCAAGGATACGGATCCCTCCAAAACCCCGGAAAGGAACGCAGCCTGGAAGAGCCAGCCCAGACTTCCACACGCAGCACCGGGAGAGAATCCATCTCCATCGCCTTAAGCTGCTGTCTGTGGTAACATTACAACAAAAAGCCAGCGTGGATCCTCGCTCCTGGCCCCACCTCTCTGTGCAGCAGCCTGGGTTCCACGTTTTTGTTGCACAGAAACAATACAGCCAGGATCTTTAAGTCCTGTTTCAAACTCCCTAGAAAGACCACTGGCTTCCCAGCAGGGTCCCAGACGCAGGCTTGGGGGAGTCCCAATCTGGTTTCTATCCTAGGAAACTAAGGTTCAGTCATCACTATGCTCCTGCCAGCCACAATGTCCTGGCCTGGAGAGAAGGTAGCACTCCCAGCTGGAATCACCTGGGAACATTTCAAATTTGGGCAGCCTCAGCCACCAGCTCCATCAGAACCTGCATGCTGGATGGCTCTCGTGCAACTGTTTGCACCTAGGCTCCAATGTGGCCTTGACGCTGACTACCGGAGTCAGAATGCACAAACTTAAGATGCCTCCTTGAACAAGGTCATTGGCCGTGTTTTAACAACTCAGATTAAGCCAAGCCCCAGCCCTCGGTTTCTACCCAAAAATATTGAGGAAAAGATACCCGATGTGTGGGAGTGGTCACAGGCGCTGTCCCCCGGCCCCAGCCAGGGTCCCCAGGCGGGTCTCATTCTCGGGGTTCCAGCCTGGGGCCCACTCCGGCCCCACACTGCTCCCAATCCTGCTCCCCATTTTAAGTGACACTCTACACACCTCCACACACGTGTGCACCCACGCTGGGCTGCGTTCTCTGTGAACACCTGACTTGTCCCCAGGCAGACACTGTGATCTGCTGTGAAGGTCCTGGTCCAGTTCGAGCTTCTTTCTTTCCATTGCCATTTACTGAACGAGCACCTGCTATGAGCCAGGCAGTAGAAGAGGTGTTTTACAAACATTAGTTACATTATCGCCAACCCCACAAGGCACATGCTGTCCCCAGTTTGCACTTGGAAACCATTTATTATGACTGAAGGCCTGCAGCCAGTCAGCGGCAGTGTGGTCTGTCCCCACACAAGTGGCAATGGCTCAGCCGCTTCGCAGGAAAACAATCCAGCAGGTATGTTCTGTCTCACCATGCTCCCGACCGCAGGCCAAACGCGGGCGGCCTGCACTTGAAAATGCAAACCCTATGGTCATGAGGTCCTTCAAGAGCAGGCTAACCTCTGAAGAGAAGCCTTCGTTGCATTTAGTTAACTCAGAGTGCTAAGAGCTAAAATCACAAGCTATTCCACAGTTTTATTAATAAAATGCACAAGAAAGTTATAAAAATATTTTATTTAAATGTTACAGAAAAATACATACTTAAGAGAATTGAAAGTTCTTATGTTAAAAATGCTAGAAATCCAGTAATTTACACAATGGTAAAATCAAAAGTGATGAGAAAACATACAATATTTCCACTTGGTCCTGCCGCCTAAGGAAACGACTATAAAATGAGATACACAGTAATTACTACAGTGGGATTGAAGGCACATGACAACGTAACTCCTCCATACACACATCCAGGCGTTTCAGACCACAAACTGCTATCCCCGAAGAGGAAAAGAACAGCATTTAAAATACTAGGATCATGTTATGTACCTATAATGAAACCGCTACTTCCTCCAAAAATTCAGATTAACTTCGCAAAATAATTATTTCTACATAACACAGACTTCTGAAAAACTGAATCATCACTTGGGCTTGAGAATACGCAAAAGAAATACACTTTATTCTCTGAAGTCAGAGTTCTTCCCGGGAGACCCAGGTACCACTTCGTAGACACAGGAACACACTGCAGCTTTTCCACTGTTCGACGCTCTGAGCAGGCTGGACGTTCAGTGGCTCCTTTTAAATGTCCATGCCCTTAAATCTGAGAGGAAACCAGCATTTACATCCTGTGTAAGCACCCTGTCTTCAGCTCCCGACTCTACCGTAAAAAGGCATGGTTCAATGTAGATGGCCCTGAAGCACGGTCTTTGCCATTACCTGTGTGATAATCCCAGGTTGGCGGGAAGCTCAGCGCCCCAGCTCTGAGCACTCAGAGAGCCATGGAGGTGTGCGGGCAGCAGGAGAGCGTAGGAGTCGGGCAGGGAGGGGAAGTGCTGGGCCCTGAGCTGCTGGAGCAGCGCACATGAACGGGCACAAGCGGCCCCTGCAGGACGTCCCAAAGGTCCTCCACTCGGCGTGACATCCGGAGGACACTGTCCACGTGACCATGGCCAGTGCTAGCGACTATTCTCAGACAGGCAGTAAAGGGACTATGACCACTTCTTCACAGTCAGAGACCCTCCATTCCAGGCCACGGGAGCGCGTGGCGGTGCTCGATGGGAACGGCATCCTCCTCCCACACCACTCGTGGGTGGCAGAAACCCTTCCCTGGGCCTCACCTTTCTATCTGCAAACCACTGCAGGAGGTCCATTCCCTCCAAGCTGGGACATGAGCGGCATGTGGGGGGGGTCTATCTTGTCCTTCCACCATGCCCCTAAACACACGGGTGGGGTAGCCGGGAAACTACACGTTCCTCTAATAATAACCCACTGTGTAAGGCAGCAGGCCCAGGAAGGTCTGAGAACAGTCTTTGCACAACATGGGAAAGAATGGCTGCTGTGTCATCCATCGAATTTTTATGAGGCAGCCAGGACAGATGGAAATTGCAGAAATCCTCCCCCCGCCCCCAATTAGGTCAAACTGCCCATGTTTCCAAATTCCCATGCCTTAAGTTTTCTGGCCAACTGTCCTCATGTGTAACTTGACCGAAGTCGGCTTCAGTACAAAATGGTCTCACGTGAGAACTTAGCTACAATGGGAGAGGCGCTGCTACCTCCATGAGGTCTCTGAAAATCAGGGCACCTTCTCAGAAAAGGAGCCCGAGAACAAATTCCACACAAGGAGAGGTCAGTGGGAGAATAGCTCTGATGTGAGCACAGCCGCATGTGACTCAGAAGGAGTCCCTCAAACTGTCCCAAAAGACCCTCTTCCAATGAGATCACCCTGAGAAACGCCGCTCTAGATGTCTTACCCTCAGTTCATCCAAGGAGTGAGATGAACATGACGACCCCCATGAACTGGGTGAACAGCAACAGTGGCGTGAAGAACGACCACACACTCCACAAAGCAATGTTGAAGCTGAAAGGGACCAGAAGACAATGAGAGTCGATGACTGGAATTTAATATATGCAGATATATTTTACGCTAGAATCTAGGTTTAAAGAGCTCAGTGTGAGAAGGAGGTTCATCCAGCCAGCAGCTTTCTAAGTATCCCGTAATTTCTCCAACATGCGACTTAGGCAATGTTAGAAAGAAAACACTACGTACACTCTAGGGACCACACCCCTTCCTGGAACCGGATCCAGTAGAGCCTGTAACAGGAGCTGGCCTGGCTCCACACTGGTGAATCGGATGGCACAGCGGCCCTTTATGCCTCACACATGAGCAGATACAGACAGAAGGAAAAGGGAAGAAATCGTCTACAAGATGCTATTAAGTTTTTCATTGAGAACACTATTTCTTATCACCAAATTAAAAATAAAACACTAAGTATAAATGATTTTAATAGTTGAATTTAACAGAAGTTAACTACAAAAACTATAAACAGTTAAATAAGTTTTTCAGATACTTATTGTTTATAATGTATAATATTTTGCTAACATGAATTTTAAATAATCATAATCTCACTGGTCTAAAAACTGTCTTACTATTTCTTGGGGCAAGCTCAGCAATAGGAGAAAAAGTAAAGTCACACATTGGTACCCACGTCACAGTAACAAATAGCCTTAAACTTTAACTGAAATGAAGTCATAAAAAGCACATTTAAGCTGAAATGTATGAAACTGTATGGATTTTCCAAAATCAAAATTCAATTCATATAACAAAAGAAAAAACTAAACAGCTATATACAACATACGACTGGCAGAATCATGGGATGTGTTTCTTTTCTGTCTTTATGTAACTTACAGAGTTTTCTTCAGTGAGCAAGTATTACTTTTTGAGCAGAAAAATCTCTTTCTTCTTTTACTGAGTACCTATTAACTTACGAGGATATTCACTAGAACAAAAACTATAAGGGCGACACCAGCAGCCTGGTTAAGGAAACCCTGGTATTAGAGGGCATGGCATTCACAACCTATGCACGTCCTCCTATGCACGTATACCTTACACCCTGTCTAGGATTACTTTGTAGACCTAACACTACGTAAGTGCTACGCAAACAGTTATTATGCCGCGTTACTCGGAGAACAAGGACAAGAGGAAAAATGTGTCCACGTGCAGGACAGATGCAGGTTTTCTTCTCCCAGCCAGTGTCAGCTGAATGCACAGCCTCGGTACCCATGAACACAGCACCGGCTGCACCATCACTGTACGTGTACTTGAGCCCCTGGTGCCTATGTACGCACACTCGCGTGCACACATGCACACAGAAGACTCATGCAAGTGTGCCACAAGGCATATGTACAGGAATGTTCTTCGCGGCACCCTTCAGACTAACAGCAAACTGGAAAACACTCAAGTGCTGTCAAGTGACACAGGTAAACCGGCACTTGTTATACAATGCGATGCTGCACAGCAATGAAATTAATGGCACTCGGAAGCCACAAGCACTGCACAATGTCACACACGCACAGTCAAATGCGAAATAAAGACACCACGGAAACCCATCTCTATAAAGTTCACAAACGCAGACACAGTGAGCTGGGCGTTGTAGCACACGACTGTAATCCCAGCATCCTGGGAGGCGGAGGCAGGAGGATCCCAAATTTGAGCCCAGCCTAGGTAACTGAGCAAGATCCTGCCTCAAAATTTAAAATGGGAAGGAGGATTGAACCCAGGGCCTTTGCACTGAGCTGCATCCCCAATATTCAAAAAACAAACAAACAAAAACAAAACAGGCCAGGGATGTAGCTCAGTGGCGTCACAACTGCCTGGCAAGCACAAGGTGCTGAGTTCAATTCCCAGTATCAAAATAAATAAATAAAAAGGACAAGGGACAAATAGAGCACTTAGGGGATGCAGAAGTAAGCAGTCACCGTGAAGGTTGGGACAGCATTTACCTGTGGCAGGTGGGAAGCACAGGGCTGGGAGGGGAATGCAAGGGTCACCAGGTGCAGGCTCAGCGCTGTGCTGCCTGGGTGCAGTTTACCCCACGGTGCTCATCTCATGGCTGACCCCTCCGGCTGTACATTTGTTTTTATACTTAAGTGTATGTAGCAGATATCACAGTAAGTGAGAGTGCCATCATTCGTCTTTTAATAAACGCCATCCATTGCCTGTATTTAAATGACATGTTTACTCAGACAGAGAGCAGAGGTACAGTGGCACCTCAGCTCACCAAGCTAATTCGTTCCTTGATGCTGGGCCAGACGGCTCAAGCTCACACAGGGGAGACTGTCCTGGTCTTGTCTGTCACCCGATGTGGAGCTTGCAAAAAGCTTGTTTGGGCCGGGGATTTAGCTCAGTGGTTTCGCCGCCTGCTGCGCAAGCGCAAGGACCCGAGTTCGATCCCCGGTACAAAAAAAAAAAAAAAAGCTTCTGTTTATGAACTGCACTGTTGGCAAACAGAAGCGTTCGTGAACTGAGGTATTACTGTAGTCATGAGAAGACCCCAAGAACAGGAAGAGGTGGGAGGCCACTGTCCTGTTATACTTTGTTTCTACTTTAGAGAGGTTTGGGCCAAACATCATTAACTGCTAGGGAAAAAAAGTGTGTTCATTCACATTCATCATGTCCAAGTTAACTTACCAAACTCCTGCTACGACGAAAGTGGCAGTTGTGATAGGCACCAGCGCCGGATACTTGACATCGTACTGTTCAATGCCACAGTACCACTCCAGGTAGACGATGCAGTAAAAAGCCACGGATAAACTGGCAAGCAGCAAGGCAGTGCCAAGGAGAAACCAACTGCAGAGACAAAACAACAAAGGCTGAGGGCACTTGGCAGTCAGCAGGTGCTCAGCAGTTCTCACTGACAGCCAAAAGGACAACTTCTGAGAGCTCAGGGCTGGAGAAGGGGTGCAAAGGGACCCACAACTGCACAACCACAGCTTTCAGAAAGTCTCAACCTAAAGGGGGCAGGAGGAGAAAAGAGGAGACCTGTGACTCAGGACTAAAACGTGAGACCTCACAGCCACGCCAGGGGCTGAGTTCTCATCAGCCAACTGGCCAGAAAGAAGCTGGTCGCAGTGACACGCGTGCTTCAGAACACAGGGAAGCGAGCAGCTTCCTGGTTGCTCCTGAAGTCTTGAATGTGAGAGGAAAAAGACTGGCAGGAAGGACCACTAACTCCTCCACGGTAAGCAGAGCTTCGTGCACTGCTGAAAATCAATTAGGAAGAGAGACACGGAATTCAAATTCTCTCTCATGAAAGATTTAAAAGGAGGAGCCTTCCTTAATAGTTAGGGTACAATTTGCGCATTGCCCCAAGACTCAGGGGCTAGAATCTTGGTTTCTGGTGCAGCAGTGTTGAAGCTGGTGGGACTTTTACAAGGAGGGGACACAGGAGGCGCCTGGGTCACAACCACCCCGCGAAGCTCATATTCTTCTCATAGGAATTGCTTTTTGCGCTTGAGGGCCTGGGCTGGTCCCTGCCAGAGCTGGGTGTTATAAAGCCTGGTACCTCTCCTTGGTGTCTCTCATTTCCTCATACACACCCGTGTGCCTGCATGTTCTTTGCACACCCACTTTCCCTTCTGTTTCTCCACCACTGTTGTGGCACAGCCAGGGCAGCTCGCTACTTGGACCTCCAGCCACCAAAAATGAGCCAATTAAACTTCTTTTCTACACACAGCACCCAGCATTGGGTATTTTCTTAGAGCCAAACAAAGCGGACTAAGACACCTCCTATTTTCACAGTATCTTCTGTTCTGCCACAAATTACAATGTTTTTTTCCTCCCTAGAATTCCACGGGAGGCAGCTTCAACAGCCCCTTCCAGCCCCCACTGGTCACGAGAGGAGGCCAGATTTGGGGAGTCCTTCCCATCCTCCCCCATCACCCTTTGCTCCTCTGTGGTTTAGATCCATGCTACAGAGAGGGAGAGCAGAGGGCCATGGCAGGCAAGTTTCACAGGCACCGGGTGGGGGCCCCACAATGGCCAGGCCCCAGACTCCTCAGACTCAGTGATACTTCCCATAATTGCTCTTGACCCTGAACAAGCCAGCCCTCCAAGACCAGCTCTGACAGCTCCCTTTTCTGTTTCCTGGGGAACTTCACCTCTGTCGGAGGACCCTGGGGTATAATTCGCAACCTCCTGCTCCACATCTGCTCCTGAGATTAGACTGAAAGGGTATCAGTCCCTGTGAGTGAGGGACTCCATCATCCAAAGCTTCTGACTCCTCCCACTGGTGACCATCGCGTAACTCTTGGTCACACCCTCTAGTTAGCTTGCCCGCTGTGACTCGGAAACACACCCTGAGAGCCAGTTCTCACTGGCCACTTCCTCCCAGTGCTCTGCACTTTGTCCTCACAAAGAGCTTCAGCCAGTCTCTTCCTCCCATGTTCGCCAAATGGATTAAGAACTTCTGAAATTTACTACATTTCTCATCCTACAACACATTTGGGCTGAAAAGGCACACTGACTACTCTTCAGTTCCCATCCACTCTGCTGTGTCTACCCAGAGCACACATCCTCTTGTCTTGTTTTCTACATTTTCCCGAGGCACTGACAAACTGAAACTGTTTATATTCAAGGTATACAACGTGATGATCTGATGTATGAATACACTGAAAAATGATTACTATAATCAAGTAGATTAGCATGCATTACTTCAAATTTACCACTGGGTGTGGTAAAGACACTTCAAATCTGCCCCCCTAAGCAAATATCAATTATACAACATAGTAACCTCTTCATCTCATAGGTTTTGACCAACATCTCTAATTCTTCTTTGTATCACTAGCACCTCTAACATGGTGTCTGGCAGAGGCTACAAGTTTACTAAATGTCTGAAGAATTCCAAGAAAAATAAGACAAGGATATTTAATTTATGAAGCAATAACATTTTCTTACCTACTAGTGTGAAAGTTTTCTTTAAGAGTTTTAAAGAAATCAACATAATAGGTCACAATGATGGATGCTAAAATCCAGAATCCAGAATGGATATTAAGTCTTGGAAGAGGTTTTTCCTTTTTCTCAAAAGTTGTAGAGCTTTCTGCAAAACACAAAGATTTCAACTTACTAAGTTACTCAAGTTTTACAAGAAAAATGACACCTACTTTAAGCCAGTCACTGCCTAGTGCTTCCTAATAATCAGAATCTCTCCCAAAATAGTACCAAACTTCCTAAAAAACAAGATAGGTTTATATTTGCATAATTAATTTGAGCCCATTATAAATATGCTCATTATAGTCAACTTATTTCCTCTATGTGAATTTTGAAATAAAATTCACACTTTTATAATCTTTTGGTTACAATGGTGCCATCTAGAATATAGGAATTTTACTATGTTTCATGCTTCCTATAGGAGGGTAATTAGTCTTGTTTACAAAAAAATACCACATGAAATGCAAGAGTATGAAACGGATATATGATTTTCCAAGAACACTTTACAACAAAGTATTTTAAACAAACATCTTTTAAAGGCAGCTCAGACATGGAAAGGGTAAACCATAGCTCCAGTGCCAGCACAGCAGTTTCAGTAGATAAAAACACGTGAACTGGGGCTGGGGATTTAGCTCAGTGGTTTTGCCGCCTGCTGAGCAAATGCAAGGACCCAAATTCAATCCCTGGTACCAAAAAAAACACATGAACTAAACATGGAACATGAACTGAAAGGTGATTCTGACATGCCTTCCAAGTTCATGGAAAAATACAGGGTTCTATGTGGAGTTCTGGATCTTTAGATGACATCAGAATCCCTGGGGAGCTTGTAAATAACACAAACTCCTGGAGTAATCCTCGAAACTTATAAATCAACATGCTGGAGTATGATGATACTTGTATTTATCTTGGAAAGGTGATCTACAGATGTGGTTTTACAACATGCGAGATAAAAAGATCCAAAATGAACTCTCCCGTCTTTACCCTTAGTTCTCCTGCCCAGAAGCAACCATCACCATCAATCTCTACTAAATTTTTCCATATTTTAATGCATGTACAGGTGAACATGCAAGTTATGTTTTGTGCCCAAATGGTAGCACATAATTCCCTTTGAAAAATTATCTATACTGGTACACAAAAGTCTGTCCAATGTACCACATGAAATACACTCAAGTCAGACATGATGATGCACGCCTGTACTATAATCCCAGCATTCCTGGTCGCTGGGGCTGGAAGACTGCAATTTCAGCAATGTTGCAACTCAGCAAGACAGTCTCAAAATTTGAAAACTAAATAATTAAGGCTGAGGATATAGCTGTGCAAAAGCCTTGTGTCTAATCCTTCATACCAGCAGGAAAAAAAAGAAAAAGAAAAAGAAAGAAACATTTTGTACATGCGTCTTCGTGTAATGGTTCAAACCTGTATCTTTGGCAAATTCTTAAGACTTGGAAGCTATGGGTAGTTTTACTGGACATCACCAAACAGGTATTAAACCTGCTGTCCAGGGAATCCTGAAGTGTAGCTGAGATGGAGATGCGCAGGGTTACGTGATCGCTAAGCCTCTTTCAAAACATTAAATATCAGACTTGCAAAATGACTTAGGACGTCTTGAAAAATGAAACCCTGCCTCCTCCAGCCTGGGTTGGGGCTGGGAGTGGCCACTGGGGAGGGCGGTTTTCGCGCGCCTCGTCTCAGAGAAGCTCGGGACAGCTCGGAACAAGTCCGAGGAAAGCGCCTCACCCCGCCCGGTGTCGCCCTCGTAGTCCAACCGGGCCTCGGCGTCAGTGGGAATCAGGTAACGCCGGCGGAGCTGCTCTCGAGCCCACGGAGCGTCCATCTTGGCACCGCCCGAAGCGCGACGGAAGTGACGTCATACGACACTTCCGGTGTCTGTTGGCGGGGGTGGGGGCTGTCTCCCAACACCAAGGGTAGAAGCTATATTACCTTTGCGGGTTTTGTAAATGAGAAGCTAGAATTGACGTTTTAGAGTCCGCCCTCAAATTCACAAAGGTGATATTAAATTTAAGATACTACTGATCTTTCCTGGTCTCTAAAATACTGAAAGTTTTCTAAATTTATTCTGATCTACGGAAGCCCTGAAGGACCAAAATTACAATGCTGCGGAGTTCGTCCAGGGTACGGATGCACAGCCCAGCGTGCGAAGTTTTCTCTGGCCTGCCAGAATCAAAATATAAAATATTTTGCAAACAGTAATCTCCGTCCAGGGCTACAGTATCAAGCCCCATATCCTTCCCTCCCTGCTTTTCTGGAGTCACCTTGTACACTTAAAGTGTTGAAGGGCTCCTGGGAGGAGGAACGGACCGCTGGACCAGCCCAGTGGGCCCCACTCTTGTAAGCAGAGGGGCCGCCTGGGAAAGTAGGATCCAGACTGCCTCCCACTCGGTACCCGGAGCTCCACAAGACAGTAATTTTAGAAGTAATGTTCCACAAACTACCCTAAAGTGTGCACTAGTGACTGAGAGACAACTTCATTATAATACTAAAATCGAAAAACAAAAAACCCTAAAATCTCTACCCAAAGAAGGGCTAAAAGCCTCGTACCCCCAACATGGGAATTAGCGGCATGCCCCCCGGGGTGCATCTGCGCAGGATTGTCCTAGCCCATGGATAAGTCACCTTCCTGCCTTCCTCGAGCATGCATTCATTCCCTGACCTAACAAAGGGCAGTTTGGCCTAGCTTCGGGAAGTCACGACTTGGGAATGGATTCCCCGTGATTTCCTGATTTGCAGCAAATAAATTTTGCTCTATGTAACAGTGATTCTTGATTTCCTGTTCCTTTCCGCCAAGAAGTGGTGACACTGACCACTTAGCTGAACTTAGGTTCTGTCCTAATTCCCCTCCCTCCCAATGGTAATTAAACCTGCCTCTAGATTTGTTGGATGGTTTAAGTGAAGAGCACGGTACGGTTCCTATGAACCCCTTTCTTTCTGCTTGTGAAACATAGCCCCACCTGTTGTCTTGGGACAGACTTTCTTTCTGGGCAAACTGCCCTTTCCCACGACTCAGCACCCATAAACTGTGTTTCACTAGTTCACAACTTTTTCTCCAGCAATAATCCTGTTCACTCTTCTCCCACCTTTTTTCCTACTGGGTCATGTGCTGAGAAATGTTGTGCTTAACCAAGCGTTCACAGAGTGTTTGCTGTTTGCTAGGAACTGTTAGGCATCATGCTAGGCCGTGAAATGAGTACGACCTTGGCCTTGCACTTGAGGAGCTCCTGCTCCAAAGTGACAATGGAGACATACTACAAGTTAATACAGTACAATCTTTATACGACAGAAGGGTTTTGTTAATTCAACCAACCAATTTTCCAAGCAGTTACATGTGACAAAAGTCAGGACTGAGGGAAGAATCTAGTGGTAGCAGTGGCTCCAATACAGTGCAACAGAAATAGTAGATGTGAGGTTATGGGAGTCCTGAATAAAGGGCAGTGTATTCTGCAGGGGTTTGTGACTTAGCAAGAAAAGTGGTTTGGGACAGGTTGAATACAGGGTTCCACAGCCCAGAAAGTACAGGAAATAAAATATGAATTAGTCAGTAGGTATGCTTTAATATCTACATGTTGTGGGTATTTGTAAAGGGAGTTGATAAAAATATTTAGAATCGAGTTGAGTTACCACTGATTTGTTTCTGTTATTCTTTAGCCTTTCTGTACTTTTTTGAGCAAAGGATTTAATGCAGAGCAGATCGTATGGCCTTTCTAAAAAATACCTCCTTTTGCCTGTTCTTTCCCCGCTCTTTTCTTTCCAGACTCCTAAAGAACTGAGACTCATCTCTTCTTTACCCTCCCTTCTTTCTCTTGTATGAGGTTAGAAGTCTTGGTAATAGGAAGTAAATTCGTCCCGGTAAATACAGCCTCCTGTTGATTGTCTCCTGGAAGAAAGGTCAGCTCTGGGTCTCCCTTGTAACCAAATAGTCCCAGGAGCATCACAGGGATTCCAGGGTTTCCATACGTGCTATGTGCAGGCCAGCTCAGGTTTCCCCTTTGGTGGTTTCAGGGCCTTTGTGTTTGGACCTGAAATCCTTCCAGCTTCTTTTCCTGATATTTTAAATGGCACTACTTGTGCACTATAGTAATGATACTTACAAGTGTGTTGGAAAAAATCCAATATCTAATGACCATGTCTTCTTTGCTGGGGTCCATTAAATAAACTCTTTAATGTGTGCACTGTGGCACCTTAATTATGGTTATATGGCACCAGATGGCTACCAGTGAAGAAATGTTCATTTTCAATGTGCATTACTTGTGGGAAAAAGAATGGATTTGACCGCGACCTTTGCTGGCCTCCTCCTAACAACAGGATTCAATCCAAGATGTTTAGACTATGAATCCTGTCTGCATCACTATGGGGTTTTGGGCAAGTTATTTCATGCTTCCAAGTATCAGTTTCATCATCTGCGATACAGCAGGTGCCAGGATATCGATAGGTGTATACAGACTGCTTAGCACAGAGCCTGGCATAAGGTACGTGTTTGGATAGCGGTAGTCCCATCACTACTGCTTAATTTGGCTTGTCAGGCCTTCAAGACCTGATATCTGCATCTTGTTTTGTACTGTGGATTGAATCCAGGCCCTTCACACTGAGCTACATCCCCAGCCCTTTTTTTTTTGAAACAGGGCCTTGTTACATTGCTAAGTTGCTACGTTGCTAGACAGGCTGAGCTCAAACTTGCAGTCCTTCTGCTTCAGCCTTCCAGAGTGCTGAAATTACAGGCCTGGGACACCACACCTAGTTTTCTGCTTATTTTTTAATCAGTATTTCCTCTGGGATCCAGCTACTCTTTGTCCCTCTCACTCTTCCAGAAAGTAGCACGTTTTATTGTCATTCTCCCTTTGCCCATGTTCCCCCGCACTGAGTGGGGAATGAGCATGTCTCAGATCCCCAGTGCCTCACACAGAGCTGGACCACCATCAACAGGTTTTACTTCGGCCCTTGATCTCAGCTAACGGGTCTTCATTATGGATATGCCTGTGTCAACCCAGCACCCTCTCCTGTGAGAAGCTACTTTTTCTCCTTTCTGCTTGGGTCTCGGAGAGCCGGCCTTGTCCTAGGGGAAACACACAAGCCATACCAGACCTCTCCGTCCCCAGAGAAGGGAAGATCTTAGCGATTGCATTGGTGTACTGAGCTGTGAAGACAATGTGGGCTTAGGGCTGCCATTCTGGAAACACAAGGGGAAGCCCACCTAGGAAGGGAGCTTGGAGTGGCAAGCTGAGGGGTCTGGACAACACTCTTCCAACCTGTGGACCTTGCCAAGCCCCATTACCCAAGGCGGAGCATGAGCTCTGGAGCCCATGGCCTGCTGGTTGATACTAGCTCTGTCATGGCTGGTATTTCCATCTTTAAAGCCTCTTCACCTCTCTCTTGCCTTAGTTTCCTCAATTGCAATGTGGAGTTCAGAATAGTACCTGCCTCCCAGGATTGGGTACCACACCCAGAAAGTGCTTAAAGCAATGTCTGGCCTCTAGGAAGCTCTCAGCAAATCTTAAATTCACAGATTTCTTTAAACTCTTTCCCCCCAAACTAATGTTAACCCGAGTGGTTTTCTGTTACTTGTACCCCTGAGGCCAGCCCAGCCCAGCCCTGTTCTTTCACTGTGTTGTGGGTTCCTGGGAAAGTTTGTTCTTTCTAAGGATCAGTTTCCTTGTTTGTGAAACAGCAGGTACCAGAAGGAACCCAGGAGCCCCAGGTGGGCTGTGGGCCGTGCTAGAAATTAATACATCAAAAGTGTTTAGAAAAGTTCCTGGCAAAGTACTCAGGACATGTGAACAGATACCACTGGGATACTGCCTTTCATTCCAAGAAGAAAGCTGTTTTTTAAAAAATAATCTCAGTTGTATAAAGATGCAAAGAAATACGTGACTCTTTATGCCTATCTCTCATTATTTCCCTGATAAAAGCTATAACGTTGCAATTGTAAGTTCAAAGATAGGAACAATCTAAAGGCTTTTGATCAGTGTTTTTTTTGGTTTTGTTTTTGTTTTTTTGTACCAGGGATCGAACTCGGGTTCTTGTGGTTGCAAGGCAGGCGGCAGAACCACTGAGCTAAATCCCTGGCCGATCAGTGTGTTCTAACAAGCTTGGGCAAGGGCTTATTTCACAGTCCCGCCAGCAGGGGTCAGGCGAAGCCATCTTTAGCGTTTGCTCCAAAATGGAGTTTATTTTGAGAAATGTTTCCAAATTGATAGCTGGGGAGAAGTCTGCGATTTTATTATGGTTCTCTTTGCTAACAGAAACTTTCACATGTTAATTGGTTATGTATATACTTTTTCCTATTGGGATTTTCATCTTTGCTTATTTTTACAGGTCAAAAATACCTTTGAACATCAGGTTATGTGACAAGTATTTTTTCCAGTTTATTGCTCATCTTTTAATTTGATCACCTTCGGTTCTGTTTTGCTTGGTTTGGTTTTTCCCTTCTCCGGGCTGGAAGGAGCCTGCCATTCAGTGGGGTCTGGTGGAGGAGAGGGAGCATGGCTCCTGTTCGCTAGCACATGACAGTTGCCCTTGATCTGAGGTTTCCTTCCCTAGAGTTTCACTTACTTGTGGTCAACCACGGTCCGTAAATATTGATGGAAAGTTCCAAACATAAACAGTCCATACAGTTTAAATTATCGTCCTGAGTAGATCATATTCCACTCTCTCACTTCCTCTCTCCCGGGATCTTAACTGTTCCTCTGTCCAGCATCGCTACACTGTATGCACCACTCACCCTGGGGGAGAGGGAGAGGACCTTCACACAGATTATTATAGTATATTATAATTGCTCTATTTTGTTATTGTTGTTATTTTTATTGTATTTATTTATTTATTTATTGGTACCAGGGATCAAACTCTGGACCTTGTGCTTGCAAGGCAGGCAGCAG